ATGAAGCCTTGCTAGCTCAATCGGTAGAGCGTGGGACTCTTAATCCCAAGGCTGTGGGTTCGACCCCCACGTAGGGCTCTTTTTTTTTTGCATATTCTCTTACGATCCTCGTAAGAGCATCACCTGGGCGTGTGTGTGTGTGTGCATCCGTGTGTGTGCATATTTGGAGGTGTCGCTCATCGTTTTGTCTCTTCGTTTGGGTACCACGTTCAGACCTGTAAAGGTAGAGCGCTTCGCCAGTCAGAAGTTGGGTAGTTGGGTAGCATGCAGATGCTGTCCGAAAGATGAGATCAGGTCGGGACATTGAACAAGAAGAGAGTGAGACCTGGACGCTCAATATTGTGGAAGATAAGTCATATTCTTTACAAGATATTCGCTCCATTTATCAGCAGCAGTCTAAGTCGCACATGATCCCCAAGTCCTTCACCTTTCTCTCCAAAATGCTACCACAAGCTATCTACCCCCCACCTCTTACTGGCGGCTTCAAATCATGATCTACAGAGTAAAAGGCGATTTGCAATTTTAGAATCAAAAAGGTGACGACAAAAACAGAAGTTATTCTTACCATGCCGGCACTCCTCCCACAAACTCATCATATACAAACTCCCCACCACTAACGCGTGGAGTCCTACACAATACGCTACCATTAACAGCCTTGTATACTTGTTCCCCGTCAACAGCTTTGTTAGCAGTAACGCAGCGCGGTCAGTAGGTGGGAGGGAGGTGAGGTGCGATTGCTTTTGTGTGGATTGGAAATGATGGAACGGATTTAGGTGGGTGGAGGTGTAGAGCGCCGAGTAGCGGGATGTGAGATCGTCTTTTTGGGAAGAGGAAGTCGAGCGGATTTGTGGGGTAGTGGATTGGGAAGGAATAGAGACGGCATATGAGGCATCAGGTTTGGAGGGGTTGGGTTTGAACGATTCTGCGTATTTAAGTTTTTCAAAAAGATGGACGTTGTCGGCTTTCAAGGAATCCAGGGATGTTTGGAGGTCTGAGATGGTTGCGAGATCTTTGCGGTGTTGCTAGAAGAGTATTATTGGGTTTGTTTAACTTATTTGCATGATGATGGGGATTGAAAAGGCTTACCTCCTCCAACTCTGCATTTCGATGCCGATACCGGTCCCTCTGACTTGCCAAAATAGGTACAATTGACGCGTCCCCATGCCCACCTACTCCAGAACTACCTTCCTTCCCCGTTGCACCTGATGCAGCTCCTCTCACAGGCGTCTGCGGTGTAACAAGCGGTGGCCCTAGTGGTGTCCCACTGCTAGCCGCTATTGCTGCTGCAGCTTGAGTCGCTTGAGTTGTCGCCACCGAAGGAATTGTGAAAGGGATTGTAGGATTCAGCATCAACAACGGGTCCTACAAAATACCCCAACATGTTGATCACCCTATTAAGAATCAGCCACACTAAAAAGAACATACCATATCTCCCCCCTCCTGTCCCGCGCCAACATTCCCCATAGCCCCCACCATACCTCCAACTCCTTTCACAACAGCCCCACCGGCAGCACCACCGGTACTCGACACAAGATTGGACATGTCCTCCTCAAGCTTTGAGATTAATCTCGCCTGAGATTCGGAATGTACCTCTAACGCACCTAGTTTAGATTTCAAGTCCTCCACGTTTTCTTGGGCTTCCGAAACCTCCAACTGCAAAATAAGCGAAGAAAAGATATTAATCAAGACAACCTGAAGCCGAAAATAAAAGCCAATTCTTTGAGTCTTACCTTCAGAGCAGTCACTTCTCCTTGCAACCTCTTGTTTTTCTCCATCAAGAGCTTTTCGAGGCTGTAATCCACCTCCGTGTTCCCTGTAGATTCCATTCCCCAGCCGTCAATCCATTCTTCTGGATTTGCAAATTCGATTTGCTAAATATATTTGAAAAGCATCAGAACAGCTTGTGACTTATAAGTGTCGATCATATACCTTCATGACGGTGAGTTCTTTTTTGACTTGTTCGTAGTCGTCCATGCTTGATAGTTTTTCAGAGAGTTGTGCGATTTCTAAAGCCTATCAGTCAAAGCCGTTAAATAAATAATGGGTGGTACTCTCATAGACAGCAGGAATGCATACCTTGACAGCTATCTCACGTTCCAACTCGTTCTGACGACGGCTTGAGGTGACTTCCTTCTCAGATAGGGAGGATTTGCACTTGTCCAACTCTTCAAGCAACTTCGAGATTTCAGCCTGCGTATATCGTTTAATATTAGCATGTGTATCAAACAAGGTGTGAAACATTACATCTTGGGCTTTGACTTTCCGAGATAGTGTCGCCGGACTATAAGAAACAAAAGACAGGAAGGGAGGGTAAGCGGACAAAACAATCAAAGCAGGGGGCTGACATACTCTTGCCACTCGGTTTTGGTCGGACTCACAGCTTCGCCCTTCAGCCCAGCCAGTTCACGCTTCAACAGTTCCTATCGCATGATTCGGTAAGCGAGGCACCCAAAGAATCAGTAAGTGAAGAGTTTGTTACAGTACATTGTCGCGCTCCAGTTGTGCGTTCTTCTGCGTAGTTCGCTCGAGGTCGTTCATTACAATCTCCATTTCACCCAATTTGAGAGCAACTTCCTCATCTACAAAGAGAAAACCCACGCCCATGTTAATCATTACAGTGCAAGCAAGCAACGACACAATCTCTCAACGCACCATATTTGAAGCTGTTGTCCACCAATTTTGCTTGAGAAACGTCGTAGGTGCTCTGCAAAGAGATGAGCTGGTCTTTCACCTGATTGAGCTGACGCTGAAGCGAATATTCGCTAATAAAGAGGTGATAAGTAAGGGAACATTCGCTTTGCAATATAATGTGAATAGTCCCACGTTTCCTTGTATATCCTGATCTTCTCATCCATAGCCTGTCTCATCTCGTTTTCTTTGGCAAGAACCTTCTCATTCACCATTTCATCCAGCTAAAATAATTCCCAAAATCAGCTTTCTCTCTCACCAAGGACCGACATGAAATGAGGAGGTGCTTACTTTGGCTTCATACTTTGTCAACCGCTGCTTTAAAGTTGCCACCGATCCCTCCGAACTTCGAAGTTCCGCCGCTTCCTTTTCTATCTCTTGCAACTCCTCTTTGAGCTTCTTGTTTTCGAGCTCTGACGCTGCTAAATCTGCCGAGACTTTGAGTTGGTCCTAATAAGCGCCTTGCAGCGTTAGCAACAAGGAGTCCAGAGAAAGGAGGGGACGGTAAAGGCTGTACCTGCACTGTCTGAATGATGGGCGTTGGATCTGGAGCTTCCGCGAGATGTTTGTATAGATTCAAGAACGATGTCTCCGCGGTTTTGCATCGTTTTGTGATACTGTCTATCTCGGTTTGGTAGGCTGAGGGATTGTGGTGGGGTTTTCAAAAGACATCAAGAAATTGGGCTGTTAGATGTTTGTTGAAATTGATGGCGCTAAGAACGTCCACTTCCAAGGTGTCATACCTTTGAGAAGAACCTTGAACTCTGTCAGCTTCTGCTCATCTGGCACCTTTTTAAACTCTACAGACGTTCAGATTAGCACATCCCAAATTGATACGGAAATCCGTAACGCACCTTTTGTCTGATCCGCCAACTTCTTTCGACTTTGCAAACTCTCCTTCTGGTTGTCTACAATCTCCAAGCCTTGCAAGTCCAGCTCTTTCTGAAGGCTTGTCAGGTTTATATCTGCCACAGATTGAATGAGTGTTCGGGATTTGGGAGGCATTTCGGAAGTTCCATTACGGGTGAGTTTAAGGAAGAAATATGGTTAGATCTACTGTATTAGAGGTGAAATGCCATCGTATGGACAATGAAGGATTGGTGTGCCCATGTTTGGAGAGCTGAGAGAGTTGTCAGACTGATGGCACAGGTGATCTATCGATACAGCTTCCATTCGATCTTAGAATCCGCCAACCATCAGGGTTCCAATCGAGCAATATAGATTACTTCAGAAGCTTCGTCTACTCTCTCCGCATCCTCATATTATCAGCAGTCTTGAGAATGTAACTGATGCTCACCTTGCCAAGCCTTCAAAGCTATCGCGAGGCCTTGATCCATTTTGGCTGGAAGGATTCCGACCTTGAAACTTTTTGAGGTTTTCGACCATAAAAGTAGCAAATCTATTGATATAAAGGGAAAAAGGGTATGAATGACCTACTACGCTGTTGCAAAAATGAGTATATGTATGAGGTCTACTTATGAAGGAATATCAAACTGAACACCACTCGAAACAACCATATGCTTGAAAAACAAACCTTTCAACTCCTCAGTTTCATTCTTCCCATTCGAAGGCGACATTCCAACAATCTTTGCGGCAAGTTCCACCCATGGCCTCGTACCGCTCTCCGACCTCTTCGTGAACCGGTAAGCCTCCGACGCGACATATTCCACTTTAAACTCCAAATCCAAACTCGGATCTTCCAAAGTCGGCTTCAAATCCGCCCAATACTGTGTCCAGTCCACCACTAAGCCGTCGGAAGTGTTGTAGTCCACCACTCTCAATGTAGGTTGGTAGCTTGGAATCAAGGAGGGTGAGATGAGGATCAAGTGAGATGGAACAAGGTTTTCGGAGGAGTTGTACGCATTTGCGGCAGTTCGGAGGCGTTCAAACAGGAAGGAGGCGTACATGGATAGCCAGGATGCTTTGGTGTAGAGTTCGTGACTTGGAGCTTGAAGCAGATACGCGGGGAGTCTGGACTTGAAGCTGGCAATGCTGGCCACGGAAGGTCGATTTTTGTTGCTATTTATGAAGCTCGCGACGGGCAAAGCAGACGATGTTTCCATCGCCGCGCAGGTTGCCTCAAAATCGTACCTTGACTCATCCACTGCCTCGGGGAACAAGAAGTGATCAATGTTCATGTGCCCATAATGTTGACTTGCAATCACATCCCCATAGGCTTCCATCAATTTGTTCATCCAATCCAAACATCCCTCCCAGTAATTAATTGCCGAGGGGGCTACATGACCCATAATGAGAACCTTCATCCTATCCTCTTTGTTTTGCTTGTTACGGCATTTGACAGGTGCAAGGACTTCCTTCTCCAACCAAGTAAGCACTGCTCCACCCCCACCACTACTTGAAGAGTCGCAAGTTCTAGCGCCGTTGGAGGC